TAAACATACTGTGGGCTGGGACTCGTACTCTCGAACCGCCCAGTGGTGCTCTCGCTGCGCTGTGTTGCGGATTTGGGGCTCCTGGAGTTATCTTCTCGGCTTAGGAGCCCGAAACCCTAAACCCCTATAAACACCCAAAGCCCTAAATCCTAAACCCTAATCCTATAAACCCTAAATCCTAAAACCCGGCTTAGGGGAGCTCTTGGAATGGATCTTTGGGTGCACAAGGCTTTGACTTCTGGGCGCTCGTTTTTGATTGGGGTCCCCGACTGGCATAATGAAATGAAGAGCGGAATGATTTGGGGTATACCCTTGTTCCGAAGGTGTTACAACCCTAAACCCTAAACCCGAGGTTCGGCAAATCCAAGCCTCTTCCTTAGCCTTCGCGGCCATCTTGGACAATGGATCCGTTGCTAGGTGTTACTTGGGATGTTTGTTTTTGTGTTTCCCTTGTGGTCCTATAAATTATAAAGGTACTATTCATAAATGCTCTTGGGGTCCTTACAGCTGCAAATTAGGTTGTGACCTGGGGTGATGCAGATGGTGGTGACAGCAGTGCTGTACAAGATCGGCTCGTGAATGTGCAGCAAATCCAAGCCACCTACAGAGCATTTGCTGCCATTCTGGACGACCGATCTGTGGTGACTTGGGGAGATGCTGAATATGGTGGTGACAGCAGCTCTGTGTACCACTTCAACAACGTACAGCAGATCCATGCCTCTTACGCAGCCTTTGCTGCCGTCCTAGGTGATGGATGCGTTGTGACCTGGGGCGATGCGGAGTATGGGGGTGACAGCAGAGCTGTGCAACATCTCCTGAGTGGTGTGCAGCAGATGCAAGCCTCTTTCGGTGCCTTTGCTGCCATCCTGAGCGATGCATCTGTCGTGACTTGGGGTGATGCGAAGTATGGCGGTGACAGCAGTACCATCCAAGATCGCCTATGCAACGGGGCTCTTGTTGAGAAGTCAATGGGAAATCACCATATACTTGTAGGATACAGTATGACTACATCTTTCCTTATCGTCGTTATATCTTGAAAGGTGAATGAAACTCCAGCCTAGTGTAAATTCATGGAAATTCTAAATCCCTTAAACGACCCAGGCAATGTCCAGCAGATCGAATCTACCCACACAGCCTTCGCCGCTATCCTGGACGATGGATCTGTTGTTACATGGGGCGATGCTGGCCAAGGTGGCGACAGCAGTGCCGTGCAGCACCTGCTTCAGGATGTGCAAAGCCTCACTGCATCTTCAGCAGCCTTTGCGGCTTTGCTGGGTGATGGATCTGTCGTGACCTGGGGTGACAGTAAGTCCGGTGGCGACAGCAGTTTGGTGCACAGTCGGCTACAGGATGTCCAAAACATCCAGGCTGCGAACAATGCCTTTGCTGCCATCCGTGTCGATGGATCCGTTGTTTCATGGGGGGATGCTAGGTTTGGTGGTGACAGCAGTTCCGTGCAACATCAGTTGAGACATGTCCAACAGATCCAGTCGTCTTCGAAAGCCTTTTGTGCCGTTCTAAACGACGGATCTGTAGTGACCTGGGGCTGTGCTGATTGTGGGGGCGACAGCAGTGCTGTCAGTTGTCAGTTCTAATGACTCTAGAAACGGGCGCTTTCACCCAAACTTTCCGCCGGCACAGTTCTCCCCCTTATCTGGTGCATGTGCGAGCGTTCAAGGCCGTTCCCGAGGTTCCTCCCGGGTGGCATTTTTCTCGCTAAAGCTGCGGGTTTGCCGGACCGGGTTGTGATGCCCAACGTGGCAGCTGCTTTTTGAATCTTTGATGATGTGCCGTTTTTATCGTTCCGACCCTTGCGAAGCGCTAGCCTAGCTGAGGCATGTGCAGCGCATTCTGCTGATTGATCCTTGTATACAGTCTATGGTCTCGGATGGATGGTCTCAGATGGACATTTCGCGTGCAAAACCTGTACAGATGCATCAGTAAGCGAAGTTCGGATCGATGCAAGATTTGCCCATCCTACACCATCCCAGAAGGGTAGATGCGCTTCTGGCACATAGCAGGCAGGGCGCAATCACTACCCGATCTATTGTCGCAGGTTGAAGCCCGAGTGCAGGATCTTGTCTCCAAAACCATTTAGGCTTTCAGGCTTAGGGTTTAGGGTTTGAGGTTTGAATCTAGTCTAGCTGTGTAGAAGCAAACGGGCTCACAAGTTCCATTCTATTTATAAGCTCGAGGCAATGGCGAGCAGGACGATCACACAGTGCGCCTTCGCTGCGCTGTGTAATCTTCGATTCTGTCTCGTCTTGTCCTTCTGAGGTGCCGCACGAGCGGATGCGGGAAAGAAACATTGCCCTCATACCTCGGACCAAGACCAAGCCCATGAAAGACAAGTCCGACACCTCCACACGAAACGCCCGGAGGTCCTACTGCAAATTGATAAGAGTTGTTCTGTATTCAAACGATCGTAACTACTTGTACCTACCTGAAGTTGGGTGCAGTTCGTCTGTGAGGGCAGTTATGGGCGTCTGATAAAGGGTTATTGTAGTGGGATTTCGGTGTGTTTTGGGCAATGGTTTTAGAGCTTCAGATCATGTTTTGGAAACTGTCAGCCAGATATGCCCTTAACAGAGTGAGCGTCCTGAGTTCAGATTTTCCTGAGACCTAAAACCCGTTAAGACACATATTGCATTGTAGAACTACGACGAAAAGCAGCTTGCATCATGTTGTGTAGGGCATCTGCATGGACTGCAACAGACAGAGTAATTGCTGAGGCTTCCCTAAACTATGCATCGATGCCACTCACATCCACTAGCTAACTATTCCTATGGTCTCCATTGCAGTTCTTTTTGTCGAAGCCAAATCATTAGAGGATCCTATCCATAGCATTGGTTAACAAAAAAAGGAACTGCAATGGAGACTATAGGCAGACCCTAAACCTTAAAACCCTAGAACCCTAGAAATCCTAGAACCCTAAACCCTAAAACCCACGGCCCTATAAACCCTAAAGCCCTAAACCCTACGAGGCTCCCAAAGCCTTATAAAATATACCCGGCGAAGCCCTTATCACGCTCGAGAGACCTATAGCCTTTTGTACCTTTACAGCCCGAGTCCTAGGCCGTCTACTAGGTTTAGGGGCCTAAATTACTTCCAATACAGTTCCTCAGGGCTCCTTATTTGTCAGTATATTCTAATATACCCTCAAAACCCCATTCTAATCATGGAGGACCCTGGAGTACTCCCTAAACCCTGAACCTAGACCGACACCTTTTGTCGTTTGTTCCCCTCTAGTCAACCCTGGAGTAACAAAAGAAGCTTGAGTAGTTTACTCGTGATCTTAGTACGTAGGGTTCCTGTTTGGAACAACCGCATGAAATACCACAAAGTTTTATTCATCTAAGTTATATAAGAGAGCCTTTATATTCTGTTAGTATGTTTCATCATAATACATTAGGTATATGGTGTTGTATCACCTTGTTTCACTATCTTATTTTATACGCTTTACATTACTGTACGTATGGCCTGTAGTAATACTGCCTGAAACCTGCGTTTCTGTTTCCCTGAACCCAAAACCTTCAAACCCTTAACCCTTAAACCCTTATAAAACCCTAAACCCTAAACCCTTAACCCTTAAACCCTAAACCCTAAAACCCTAAACCCTAAACCTTTTCTCAGTACATGGCTCTTCCTGCTTGGTGATAGGATCCCCCCAGCTTTGTCAGTCACGATAGAGGAGCCTCGGAGCCAGGGCACAAGTCGCATTTCTTTGTGTATTCATTAATTCTGTATATACATATATATACACCAGTATATTGGTATAGTAGTATATTGGCATATTAGTGCGTCAGTAGGTTAGTATATTCATCTATTCTTAGTCATATTCTTTGGCAGAGGCCATGACTTTTGTCCTTGATGTGCACCTGGTAAGCGGCAGGGGCGTGACTTTGGCCGCAGAGGCAGATGATAGTGTCTTCGCGCTAAAGAAGCGTGCCCAGTCGGCCTTTGGAGTTGGCGGAGGAAGGTTGTTGAACGGTTCCGGTGGTCTTCTGAAAGGGACGACCACAGTGGAACAGACAGGGCTGCAACCCGGCGATGTCCTAACCTTCCTGGTCAAACTGCATCAGGTCACTGCCTCAAAGCAGCGATGGTTTTGCGCCGGGGCTGCCTTTGCTGCCATTCGGGACGATGGATGCGTCGTGACGTGGGGGCATGCGGACTTTGGTGGTGACAGCAGAGCCGTTCAAGATCGCTTGCACAATGTGCAGCACATCCAATCGGGTTTCCGAGCTTTCGCGGCCATCCTAGACGATGGCTCTGTTGTAACATGGGGAGATAAAAGATATGGCGGCGACTGCAGTGCTGTGCAACACCGGCTGAAGAACGCTCCTAGGTCTGGCAGCAGTACCCTTATACTCTTTTTTCCCGGGGTTTCACCGCTCTTGCTATGCACGCGCACATGTTGAGCTTAAGACGCGTCTTTTCAGTCCTGCTCGGGTTTCCTCCTCCGGAGGCAACGGCTGCCAATTCAAGATCCATGAAAGACCCTAAACACTACACCCTAAACCGCTGCCGCCGTCCTTACTTGTGTTTTTGGGGTGTTTTGGTGTGGAAATCGGCTCTTCCTTCCCGATGCTAAGCGGGCTTCACGCCAGAAGCGACCTTCAGTAATAGTTATTCATTATTACTTTCAATATGGTAACGATACCAACAATGATAACAATATAATGACAATGATTAATGATAGCATACTCCACAGTCCAGTACATACATACTTTGGGCTGGGACTGCTACTCCCAGTTTGCCCATCGTGCTCTCCCTAAACCCTATAAAACCTAAACTCCCAAACCCTCAACCATGCCGTGTTGCGCATTTTGGGCTCCTGGCGTGATCTTGTCAGCTTTGGGCTTGTTCACCGTTTGTGGGCTACGCTGGCATAGTGTTCTCTAGCGCTATATATATATATATATAAGCGGAAGATTGCCCTAAACCCTCAACCCCGAAACCCTCAAGCCTAAACCCCAAAGGTTGCTGAAGAGCCTAAGGTTCGGCAAATCCAGGCCTCTTCCTTGGCCTTCGCGGCCATCCTGGACAACGGATCTGTTGCTAGGTGGTACCTGGGAAGCTTGTTGGTGTGCCCCTTATGGTCCTGTAGAGGTATAGATGTGCATATTCATAAATGCTCTTAGGTCCTTAACTCTACAGACCAGGTTGTGACTTGGGGCGATGCAGATGGTGGTGACAGCAGTGCTGTGCAAGATCGGCTTGTGAATGTGCAGCACATCCAAGCCACCTACAGAGCATTTGCTGCCGTTCTGGACGACCGATCTGTGGTGACTTGGGGAGATGCTGAATATGGTGGTGACAGCAACAACGTGCAGCCTCTCCATGATGTACAGCAGATCCTTGCTTCGTATGCAGCCTTTGCCGCCATTCTCGGTGACAGGTCTGTCGTGACCTGGGGCGATGCGGAGTATGGCGGTGACAGCAGAGCCGTGCAACATCTCCTCAATGGAGTGCAGCAGATACAAGCCTCTTACGGTGCTTTTGCCGCCATCCTGAGCGACTCATCTGTCGTGACCTGGGGCGATGCCAAGTATGGGGGTGACAGCAGAGCCGTCCAAGACCGCTTGCGCAACTGGGCTCTTGCTAAGGAATCTGTTGCACGGCGCCATAATGCACAGTAAAGGCGATGCTTTCCTTACGGTTGTAGATTGTAGATGTATAACTACCATGAGGCTCCAAGCAGCCCGGTGAAACTTCTACAGCCTTCAAACAAACCACCCAGGCCATGTCCAGCAGATCGAATCTGCCCACAGAGCCTTCGCCGCCATCCTGGACGATGGATCTGTTGTTACATGGGGAGATGATGGGCAAGGTGGCGACAGCAGTGCCGTGCAGCACCTGCTCAAGGATGTGCAGAGCATCACTGCATCTTCAGCGGCCTTTGCGGCTTTGCTGGGTGATGGATCTGTCGTGAGCTGGGGTGAGAGCAAATCAGGTGGGGACAGCAGATTCGTGCAGTGTGGGCTGCAGAATGTACAAAAGATCCAGGCTGCGAACAATGCCTTTGCTGCCGTCCGGGTCGACGGATCTGTTGTTACATGGGGAGATGCTGAAAGTGGTGGCGACAGTACTGCTGTGCAACATCAGCTGAGACATGTTCAACAGATCCAGTCGTCTTCGAAAGCCTTTTGTGCCGTTCTAAACGACGGATCTGTAGTGACCTGGGGCTGTGCTGATTGTGGGGGCGACAGCAGTGCTGTCAGATGCCAGTTTTAATGACTCTAGGAGCGGGCACTGTCATTCCCATCATTTAAGGATGAATCGCTTGGTCGCTCAAACTTTCCGCCGGCACAGCCCCATGCTGCCACCAACTGGAGGGGCATGCTTTCTATCTTCCGAATTCAGCTATGGCAGGACCCCGTTCCCGCCTAATCTGGTGCACGTGAGAGGATTCAGAGTCGTTCCCAAGGTTCCGCCCGTGGTGGGACTTTTCTCGGTAACAGTGTGGGCATGCCGGACCAGCTGTCATCCCGAATGAGGCAGCTGCTTTTTGAATCTTTGATGAAGCCCTGTTTTCACGTTCCAACTTTTGCACGACACGAGCCTAACTGAGGCAAGTGCACTACCTTCGGCTGATTGATCCCTATAGAGTCTGCAGATGGTCTCTGATGGACAGTTCGCGTGGCCCCGTTCCGAAACTCCTATTGATTCCGAGCACCGCCTACGACAGATTGATTATACACGAGTCTCGGAAGCATTGCCAGCTATGCTCGGAAGCAGATGGAGATCAAGTCCATGCAAGATTTGCTCATCCCAAACCATCCCACATGGGTAGATGCGCTTCTGGAACACAGCAGGCAGGGCGCAATCACTACCTTATCTATTGTCGCAGGTTGAAGCCCGTGCACAAGATCTTATCTTCAGCAAAATTACCATGTTTGGGTGGACAGTCTCAAAGTGAATGTAGCCGTGTAGAAACCGGTGGGCTTCCGACTTCCATAGGAATCATAAGCTGGAGAATGGCGAGCAGTACGATCACGCAGTGTGCTTGGACCACGCCGTGTAATCTTCCATTGTGACTCGTTTGGTTTCTGAGGTGCCGCACGAACCACGAACGGATGTGCAAAATTGCGCTGATGCTTCAGCTGCCGCGTAACCTAAACCCCTAAACTCCTAAACCCTAAATCGGAAAGGCCCCTAAACCCCCAACTTCCATCAACTGCCACAGCTCCCAAGCTCAACAGCCTCGCAAAGAAGCGACAGTCGAGGCCACTATTGCTGAGGACCAAAATTCCTACTGCTACAACACCAGCAGCAGCAACAACAACAACAACAGCAGCAGCAACAACAACAACAACAACAACTACTACTACTACTACAATAGGAAGAACAAAAAACACAAAGTAATGAGAATAATTATAAGAACGATAACCGTAATGAATTATAGTAACGACAAGAGTACTGAGAATAATAGGAAGGATTTCCCCGAGATACTGACCTGCATGCATACAGCTACTACTATCCTAAGCCCATGTACCTGCCTATTGCTTTCCTGGACCTTTCATGCTTGCCAGGGTTTAAGGGCTTAGGGTGCAGGGTTTAGTAATCTAGGGTTTCATATTTCCCAAACTCGGTGGAAACGAGGTGTGGTGTTATTGTTTCAAGTTGCCCAGATTTCCCAAAAGCCTCGAGCGTGCATACTAAGCAGATTTCCGTGTCGCCACCTGCAGCCACGCTAGGGCAAAGTAGGGTTCCTGTAGTAGGAGTTATCATGCCGGCCTCTGTAAGTATTCCCTCTGTAGCTGCTTAGGACCCTTTGGGATTACAAGGCAGTATACTCTCTAACAAGAGCACCCACAAAAGCCTTCTCTTACCGCAATAAAAGGCGGCTCCCGAAAAACACTAAGAAGTCTCCGAGGGACGCTGATTCAGGTTGGGGTTTTGGGTTTAGTGCTAGAAGAACATTTATGACGCCGATTCGTTCGGCTTCGATTTGCAGCACGTCGCCCAAGCGTAATGCCTGCATACCGGGAGGCCAAACCTTCACCGCCTTCACCCTAAGCACTTCTCAGCCCAAGGTTAGTCCTAAACCCTACACCCTGAGCCCTAACCTGGCCCTAAACCCTGAGCCCTAAACCCTAAACCCTAAAACCTAAACCCTAAACCCTAAACTGAACTCTATTGAAGTGCCTTCAGAAGCCAAGCCTCGGGGGTTCGGTCGTCATGTCAACCATGACTGGAATCCATGCCGCGATTCTAGGGCTAGTCGGCTAGTCCTCAAGACTCATGAAGGTAGGTATATAGGAGTTTCAGACAAGAAGGGGCCCGGATGTAGGCACCGAAAAGCAGGATCTTAACGCCTTGGTGCCTAAAACGCCCAGTTGATGAATTTGGAAACCCCACAGCAATATAGAAAATCGATGCAAGCAACAACCAGTGAACTCCTACAAAGCCTTAGCAGCCCTACGAAGAGTCTTCAGGTGTCCCGGAAGTACCGGCGAATCCTGGAATCTCTCTTGTCGATTGGCTGCCACATCGCCTGCTGCACCGTCTGGATCTCAGACACTGCCCTGTTACCGTGAGGAAAACTTTACCGTTTTTTTACCTCGAATATCCATTTGTCGACTTTGCCAGCTGTAGTGCTTGCGATGATGAACATGATGGTTTCAGCCGCCAGGTGTTGGAGGGGGGTGGGGGGTAGGTTGTAGTAGTCGTCGTCGTAGTCGTAGTCGTAGTAGTTGTAGTAGTATTTGATTGTTCTGCCAACACCCTGGCCCTGCAGACAGCCTCCTGGAAGTTCCAGCTCCCACAATTGACAAAGCTAAAAGTCGGGGATTCGGGCTCTAGTGGTTAAGGGTTTACAATCCTGTCTACACCCTAACTATACCCACGCTGATCGGCAGGGAGTCATGCGAAGCTTGCTTGGTTGTGTTGGGTCATGTTAGGTCTAAGCTTTGCTCCTTGCTGCATCGGTTCTGCATCAGGAAATCACCACTGCAGCTCATGAATCCCTGCAAAAAGCCGTTCAAAAACCTGCAAAACCTCCCAAGCCACTGCAGAGTCCTATATAGTTCGTTCTGTCCCTGCCTATAGCTTCAGGTTTCTCACCCTAGAAACACGTACGTAGATCGACAATGAAGCCCAGTTTCCCTGGCTCTCGTGGTGGGACCGTAAAGCCACTTGAAGCCCCAAACCTGCTACCCCGACCCTGACTTAGGGTTTAGGTTTTTGTTAGGGGATTTTTGTTCAAATTAGCATAACAGGGATCTACAGCAAATAGTATGGTTTCGTTATTATGGTAGCTTAAGTAAATGCCCCTAACAAGAACTCAATAATTCTGGACCCGAAGAGCTAGAGACAGACGGGAAGCTTGAAACATAAACCCCGCCATAAATTCTCAACCCTGGAAGCCCTAAGCCCTAAATCGGTTCCAGAAAAGCCGAGTAGCCCCAAAACCTGAAGCGCTAAACACAAACCGCACTTCGGAAAAGTGCAGAAGCCCCAAAGCCCTAAACCTAGTGCTCACCTCTAAAAAGCAGAAGAAGTCTTCAAGCCGAACGTCCCTACACGCTAAACCTCATCCAACCCTAAACTTAAACCCTACGGTAACCCGTCAAACCCAGGCCCCCAAAACCCTTAAACCCCAAAGCCTTAAAACAAATCCAGCCGAGGTCTACAAACCGAACTTCCTTAAAGCCTACTAAACTCTAAGCCTAACTCAAAATTAAGCCCTAAACCCACAGACCCAACCCCCTAAACCGCTGGTTTCAGGTCTACAAGCCGAATTTCCAGCACATCTTTCTCAAAGCCTTGGCGGGAGCTAGCCTTGGGTTCGCCCTCACCCCGCTGGGCTGGGGTTTCGGGTGTAGAGGGTTTAGTGTTTAGGGGTTCGGGACTTAGTGTCTAGGGTTTACGGGGTTTAGGGGATTAGGGTTTAGGGTCTAGGGGTTTAGAGTTTGGGTTAAAGGTTTGTGGCTTAGGGCTTAGGGGAGTTAGGGATTAGGTCAGGTGATTAGGTTGCTTGAAACCCAAGTAAACTACCCAGAGGCTCCTTAGTAGTTCCTTTTTGGGATTACCTTATAGGATTCTTTTTGTGAACCATAAAAAGGAACTACTTAGGAGCCTATGGGTACCTTTTAGTTTCTTGAGGAACCCAAGTTAGGGTCGGGGAACGGATCCGGGAACTCCGAATCAAGTTGGGGTTTAGGGTTCAGGGTTTAGGGTTTAGGGTTGCAGCGGTATGAAAGTATAACCCAGTTACTTGTCCCCTAATACTTCAAGGAAATCTTCCGGGTTATAGGTACAGGTATACCCCCAACCATCAAATCCGAAACCCTAAACCCGAGCCAGCATAGGTAGGTTAGAAGTACCCCGAGCCTCCAAGTAGTGGGTGGTTGGAGGGTGGGGGCGCGCAGGGGGTGGGGTGGCTCCCGGGTTTAGGATTTAGTTTTGGGAGGGGAGCGACTTGTATGTTGGCTGATGAAGAGGTCCAGGCTTTAGGGCTTAGGGCTGCGCAGGTGTTTTTGTTGAATGCCAGTGGTCTCGGGGAAATTGGTCGGACGTGATGCGGCCGAGCTGGGCCCGGCTGGTACAGGCATGTTGTTGGCCTTTGTGAGGTGGCGGGTGTAGCTACCTATTGTGATGTCTTCCCCACAGTGTACCTAGAGAGCCCCCCGATTCTTCAACAGTCGAAGATATGACATCATACGGCTTACCTTGCCTTGGTGAAACATGCGGTGTACACATTACCTGCGAAAGGCGCGGCGTGCCGGTTGTGGGGCTTTGGCGTAAAATGGCAACGGCACCGGAAGGTTTATTCTTCCTCCAAGGAGCCCGGGCCTTCGTACTTTTAAAAGTGAGCCCTCAGCCCCTGAACTCTATGCCGCGCATCCTGGCTTTAGTGACTCTCAGCTCCGAAGGTTGAGCTCTAAATTCCGAGCCCAGCAACAAGGAAAGTGCTGCCCCCAAGCCCAGTCACTTTGTGTCTGTTCTGGAGTTGGGTTGGTTCCGAATGTCGGGCTAGAGCTTACCCAATGCCAAGGATTAGTAGCCCCTTAGTAGATAATATGGACACATACGTACATACATACACCCATCCATCCATAAATACATATCTACATACCTACATAACTACATACCTATACATACGTACGTACGTACACAGAGAGAGACATGTATATATGTATGTATGTATGTATGTATGTATGTATGTATGTATGTATGCATGTATGTATGTATGCTATACTGTACTTGGACCCTAGCGGGGAGAGCTGAAA